TTTTTTTTTTTTTTTTCAATGTACCACCATATTTGTAAATTGTTTACATGGTACTTCAAGGCATTACAGTGGAGCATGGCCAAAAAAAGGTATTAAAATGCTAATTATGGTATTAAATGATGGTAATATCCTATGCTGTATGAACTTTGTAATAACGTGTGTAAATAATCTCTGATGTAGATGTGGCTCTGCAGCCTGCTCCTGCCCTCACCTGGCGTATGATTGGTGGGATCCTCGACTTTTACATTTTCCTAGGCCCGGATCCCAGCTCTGTAATTGCACAGTACTTGGATGTTGTAGGTCAGCAAGCATCATAAACAGTATTTGATAAGCATTTTCACATGAAGAAACAGAAGTTCAAGAACTAATCATTGAATCTTCTCTTTTTCACATTAGGGAAGCCTGCAATGCCCATCTTCTGGGCTCTGGGTTATCATCTTTGCCGATGGGGCTACAAGTCAAGCGACAAAACCTGGAATGTTGTAAAAGAAATGCGGAATTATGGGATACCTCAGGTACTGTAGTTGTCAGGTCATTTTCATTTATTGTTTGATTCAGTGTAAGTAATTATGGCTTGGTTTGTGTTTGTACACAAATGTTTTCTATTGGTAGGAATTTCAAATCAGCTACACAAGATTTACACTGTTGATAGACATCAAGAAAAATTATCAAAGTATTTCAGCACAGAAAATAAAGCAAAAAACATATAACTTACAGTCTGTCTCTATCAGTATTGTTATTGTTAACAAAAACTATTTTCATTTCGTTTATAAAAAAGAAATACAATTATTGCTATATAGAAATAAATAAATACATTTAAATTATATATAATAAATGTAATGTAATTTAATAAATGCGTTATGCATTTAGCATAGGGAATAGAATTGTGAGAAATTATGTTTGCACTAATTACAAAATGTTTCTATCTTTCAGGATGTTCAGTGGAATGACATTGACTACATGGATCATGCCTTAGACTTCACTTATGACACTGTGAACTTTTCCAGCCTACCTGACCTTGTGAAAGACCTTCATAGACATGATCAACACTATGTCATGATGCTGGTACACACTCACACTTCGATTGACACAAAAACGTGACCATTTGTGAATTTAATGAACTACACCTGGTTACTCTGCTAGAACACCTAAATGTTCTTGAAGGGGAACTGACTTCATACATCCAATAAAAATCACCTTCACAGCAGTTGGTTGAATGTCATTGCACAAATGTTTCTTTTGTTTGAAGATGTCACTTGGTTTGATACGCAGTGACATTCATTCAGGTTCAGTGTGGCTTAAATAATTTTTGGAGGCTGTCAATAGATTTATTTGCAGAAAGCAGATAAACTAAAAATCCAAATGAGAGGAACATCTGTGTTCTGTGAGTTTAAATATGCTTCTCCTGCAAAAACATCCATATGACACGCTTCCTCATTTGGCTCTCGTCTCTTTTGTGGAGCAGTAGAATCACACTGACAGTCATGAGGCTGTTTTGGCAGCTGAATGTTTCACATGACTGCAGTTCAATCCCTCACTAAAGCGTTTGGATGTGTCACTGTGGATTTAGCTCAAGTGTGCTTGATGTAAACTGCAGCTTGTGTGTTTGTCCCTTTTGCACTTCCTCATCAGGATCCCGGTATCAGTAACTCTCAGCTGCCTGGCTCCTACTGGCCATTTGATGAGGGGATGAAGAGGGGCATCTTCATCAATGATTCGAATGGAGACGTCCTTATCGGGAAGGTACACTGAAGACATACACATTAAGTTGTTTAAAATTTGGGCGTTT